ACACGTCATCATCTAATACAAATCCTCAGGCCCATGACACGGATTTTCGCCAGTGTGGTGGGGGTTTGTGGGGAACTCAGAACCCAGAGAGGGTGAACGGCCTGCTCCAAGTCATACAGACACTGATGTCAGAGGCAAGATTAGAACCCAGAGCTCTCCAGCTCAAGATGAAGCATAGTAGTAAAAATGCTGGTGTCAGTGAGATCTGGAGTGGAACTTGGCTCTGTCACATACTAACTGCCTGAGACTAGGAAATTTCTTAAATTCTCTGAGGCTCACTTATTTCATCAATAAAAGGGGGATGATAATTTATACATCAGAGAGTTGGGAGAAGTATATGAAATAATACTTATGTAAAAAGATCTGATAACCACTAAGAAATGAATTAAGTGATGATATTGATAAAGATAAGGATACTGATGATGAAAATGATGATGAGAGGAAGGGAGGGGTGATGGTGGTGAAGGAGAGGGAGGAGGAGGACTCCTTGCCTAAGTCCAGTGGTTCACTCTTCGGCATAACTGTGCATGGTTACACACAAGTCCATGCATGGTTTCCACATAAAGCCAATGATATTCTTGGCTCTCTGACTTTCCAGTTATTATACCTGCAAACCATGCCTCATCCATGCACTGCCCATTAAACCCATGTGATTCATCGTCCACTTCATGCCCCAGCTAGTTCTGCCCAGTCTAACACTTAAACAGTGGAAAAGAGAAAATCCAAGTCACCAGGCCAGTTAGTTAACAAGCCTTATTGAATCAACTTATTGGAGACCTCTCAGATGGAGCCTTACCTTGCAATGGCCCTAGCCCAGCCCTCCCATCTCCCTTCTAAAAATTCCTACAGTCTTCAATCTAGTCCCGTGTCTCTCTTCCTTCTATTAGCTATTATGGAACAAAAAGTTCTTTCCAAAATGCTTATCTAGCTACATCACACCTCTTCTTTCAATGACCAATAGGATATCACTCTGACAACCTCTTCATGTCGTAACCCACACACTTGCTCATTGTCCCTCAAACAGGACACACTCTTACTGATGTGCTGGTCTGTCTGCCCACAGGCCCTTTCTTGACTGCTATACTTTCTTAATTCTCATACATCCTTCCAATGTGAAGGTTTTCCTGATTACTGCTTGCCTTCCAATGACAGAATTCATTACAACTCCCATTTCCTGTGTAAATAAGTCATTATCATAGCTATCATAGATATTTACTGAGAACTTTTGTTGTTAAGCACCAGATGGCTTTATATGCATTATCTAATTTAATCTTCCCAACAGTCTTTTGAAGGGGTGTATTTATCCCTTTCACAGATGAGGAGAGTGAGATTCAGAGCACTTAAACAGATATGTACTAACCTGAGCTTCCTAGCAAGACCCATAGTTTTTTTCCTTCCCAGTTTCCCTCAGTGTCCAGCCCCTCCTCACTGTAAATAACATAGCCAATATTTAAACTCAGGTTGGCTTGACTCCAAAGTGTCTGATCTAATCACACTGTATATAGTTAACCAAATTCTGGGAGTTCCCTAAGGGTAGGAACTAAGTCTTCTTCACCTCAATATCCCAAACCTGGAAATCAATACTCAGGTATTTGTTAGAAGTTAAACTTAGCTTTACTAAAGATGAAGAAAGGGAGTATTGCATCCATTTGCCTGGGAAGAAATAAGTACAGGGCTCATGGTTTGGAATTCCTTTGTGTGCCCAAGTTTAGATTTCATTAACTCAAAAATCTTCCTTTATGAGCTACAGGATTCGGGGCAGGTGATTCAATTTGCCTAAATCTCGGTTTTTCAAGTTGTGATCACAACAGCACATGGCTGTTTTGCACATGGTTAAGTGAGGTAAGCATTGTACAGTCATTGATATAATGAGGATTCCCTAAAGAATAGTTATTGGGATTGGCTAGCTTCATTTAGCTTAATCTGCTCTAGTGCCATCCATTTCCCTGCAAATGCCATGATTTTTGTCATTTTTTAGTGCTGAGTAATACTGCATTGTGTATAAATGCCACTTTTTTTTATACATTCATCTATTGAAGGACATCTAGGTTGGTTCCACAGACTAGCTATTGTGAATTGTGCTGCTATGAACATCAATGTAGCAGTATACCTATAGTACGCTCTTTTAAGGTCTTTAGGGAATAGTCCGAGAAGGGGAATAGCTGGCAATCTGTATACGGGTCTGGTCTGTCTGCCCACAGGCCCTGTCTTGACTGCTGTACTTTCTTAATTCTCATACATCCTTCCACTGTGAAGGTTTTCCTGATGACTGTTTGCCTTCCAATGACAGAATTCATTACACCTCTCATTTCCTGTGTAAATAAGTCATGGGGTAAAAATGGGAGTTCATAACCCACTTGAATCAAATGTATGAAATATGATATGTCAAGAGCTTTGTAATGTTTTGAACAACTAATTTAAAAAAAGAATAGTTATTGGCATTTGTCTCTGCAATGAAGCTTGCCTGGAGGAGATATTTCTTGACCATACAGGAGAAGGGGTTGGGGTTGGGGATATAACTTGGTGGTAGAGCACTTACCCACCATGCATGAGGTCCTGGGTTCAATCCCTGCACACGCACACACACACACACACACACACACACACAGCTTCCTCTTCTTGAGAGCCCTATCGTGGATGGACAGGGCAGGACTACAGTGCCAGGAAAAGGAAGCTGAAACCAGAAAGGGGTGTGGATGGAGAATGAGTGTGGACAGCTGGATGGCAGATATTCTCAAGGACCACCTCTGTCTCTGAGAGCTTCAGGAAAAATCATACACTTCTTCTTGGATATCTTGCTGCTGCATTAAGATCCACATTATGACCATTTTTGTTTTAGTTAAATTTTTATATTACTTATGATTAATATCTCACAGAGCTGTTAGTCATTAATTCCTTCTCTTACTGCAAATTCTCTCTACTTTCCCTGATACATTCTCTTAGTTATCTCCCTACGATTCATAACATGGTGGATATTTTCTCTAGTAGGAGAAGGCAATCATCTACTGCATGCTACTAGATATTGGGTTGGACATATCCTGACCAAATATCTCGAGATGCACAACAACCCCACCAAGAGCCGGACTATCATTGACCCCATTTTGTTGGTGAGGAAACTGTTAAGATGTCAAGCTCCTTACCTAAAATCAATAGCTGATAAACAGCAGTGGAGTCAGATTCAAAATTAATCAGGCTCAGATCACCAGCATTTGGGGCAGTTTAATTTTCTGCAACTATTGAGCTAAAATTTTCCTCAGGTTGAGCCAAGAAAATGGAAAGCTGTAGCAATGGATTGGCTCAGCAAAGGCCTGGGACCCAGGATTCAGGGAAAGATGTACATGAGAGGCACTCAGAACGGGGCTTGTCACATGGCAAGTTCTCAATGAATGGTGAATATGACTTCTCATTTTCATTTTCTGGTAAAAAGGTTAGTTCCTCTTGGAACATACTATCCCTGGGAAGAGAGGAGACATCAACAAACATAGAAGGCGTCTAAACTCCAGCTATATATTTGTAGAAACATAAACCCAATAATAATAAGATGACTTAAAAGAGCACCCATAGCTTAGATTGTTGTAGATGAGGCAGCTCTGCGGGCACCTGAGTTGTCTGGAAGAATGAATCTCTGCTTTCTTTTCATTCATTGCCTCTTGTGGATCAGATTACTGCAGAAACAAACCTCAGCATGTAGGTTTTCAGGAAAGAGATAGCGGATCTCATCTACACTTATTAACGCTCAGCAGTAGGCCCTTTCGACTGTTTGTATTTGACTGATATTCGGTATTCTTTCCTCCTCTGAATCTCCACAGTCTCTACTCTCCTAACCAGTGTCATCCTGGCCTTATACTATACCTGATCCACATCTCATTTCCTCCAGCCAGGTGGCTCATCTGTGCTAATACCATGGCGATGAGAATTCAAAGTTTCTCCTTGTCCCTATTACCCTCCCAGGGAACACGTGGGTGACAGCACGATTGCCATTTAAAAGGAAATTTCAATTATGCCTCCATAAAGCAGTCTAAACACAAATAAATAAAAGGAAATCCCAGTGTTGGAACATCTCCCCCATGACCACAGGGTCCATTCTGCCATCAGAGTGGTCACCCTCTCTTTGGGGCCTTCTCCCATCCATCTTCCACCCTGCAGCTGGAGCGATTTTTCTTAAAGAGCAAGTGGGCTGTTTCACTCTTGTTAAAGTCCTTCAGTGGCTCCAGGTTACTTCAAGATAATGTCAAACTTCTTGTTCAAGAATAGATGCTCTGCTGAGCTCCTAGCTACTCCTCTTGCCGTTCCTACTTCAACCCATGTCCTAAATGAAAGTGCTCCAAACCTTCAATGAGTTAGACTTTCTATTTTCTCTCAGCGTGGAGCGAATCCCATCCTTCCCAGCTTTGTCTGGCTTATTCCTCCCCTTCTCCTCGTTCTTTGGGCTTCGGTTTCACAGGAAGCATTTCTCAGCATCCCACCAGTGGGTCTCATGACCCATCAAGGAGTTCAGAGAACCTCCATTCTTCCCTCTGGTACAGTCTGAAATCACCAGATTGCTTCTCTCTAATAACTACTGGACCCTATGTTCCCTGAGTGCACAGAAGTCCTCTGTCTTCAGTTACTTGTCCTATGCCCGGCACATAGTATCTACACAATAAATATCTGTTTAGTGAATAAACAGAAGTCCTCCAAACACACTTCATTCGTAGTAAGAAACATCACCCAAGCAGAAAGAGAGACAATAGGAATTTTTAATGCACAGAAAGTCCTGCAGGGACTCTGGGCAGACAGGAAGAAGCAGAGGTCCTGCAAACTCAGTAACGTCCAGAAAAAAAAAAAAAAAGAGAGAGAGAAAAGTCCTTAAAGACCCAAGCTTCCTCACTGCAACAATCCTTAGGGCTTCCTTCCTGGTGCCGAAGAGGTCAAACTGTCTCTCCATAGGTCTCCTCCAGGGGTCCGTGGCAGGAAGGAAGCTGGGCACGGCAGGAAGGAGGAAGAAAAGGAAAGGCCGCTTGGTCTCCACCTGAAGGCTCCTGCCACCCGACTGACTTCCATCCATAAGAAAAGTTTTAAAAAGGAGAGACGTTTGATAGAGTCAAATAATATCTTAGAAAAAAATAAAAGATAGAGAAAATGAATAATTCCATTGGTTACAAAGTTCTCTGTCCACTATCCACAGGAGGAGCAGTTTGCTTTGGCCTTGATGGCAAGTGTCATCTGCCAGGCCCATCCTCAGCTGTCCCCCAGCCCACCCAGGCCCCAGGATCCATCCACAAGAGTACTGCTCCCCCTAGGAGAGTCTCTGTGCTCGTGGAGGGCAGCACCCTCCCTCACCGGCCCTTGGACTCCCCGTACGTGTTTCGGGCCATGGACACCATCTTCTCCTCGCAAGTGATTTTGGTGTCCTTGAGGACGCTGTACCACACCATGCCCGCAGGCCGGACCTCCTCACTTCGGCAGAAAAGGTAGGGCACCGTGTCCACGCGGCTCTGGATGTAGGCGCTTCTCAGGAGGCTGGAGCAGTGGCTGCTCACCCTCTCTAGCCGCCGCAGGATCAGGTGGGCCTTCCTGAAAATTCAAGGAGAGAGCAACGGTTCAGGAAGAAGTCTAGAGCAGGGGCTGTGAGGCTTTTGAAGTGGCAAATAAAGGTCAACAGTCACATGAAGACATCTTGCCCTGATGACTTCCTAAGTGTGATATTTTAAACACCTATTAAAAAATTGCCTTACAACATACGCTCCTCAGTTTGCAAGCCTAAAAAATGAAAGTGGTATAACCTTTGAACCAGTGCTTTCAACTCAAGAATATGGGACCCCCCGCCCCCCAGCAATGAGAAGGACACCAGTTTTAGGACTTTAGCCAAAGAGAAATTATTACATTGATGGCAAAACCCCGCCATAAATAACTAAACTTTGTCATTTATCATGTGTTGGACACCGAGTCCGTACTTTACGTGTGTTTTAAAACTTGTATTTGATCTTCACATCAGTCCTAAACATCTGTTCTCTCTACTCCTATTTAACAGGTGAGGAGAAGTGACTTTATTTGACCAAGGCCAAATACCAAGGGGACAACTGGAGTTGGGCAGTGGAATCTAGGCCTGAATCCATGTGTTCTTTCTCCAACTATTTACTTTATTGCTTCTCTCATTCTCACATCACTTTCTTGCAGTCACAAAATTTGGAAAGCTTGCCCTCTGTGCTTCTCTCTCATCAGAGGCTAAAGAAATATAAATGTATCCAAATCATAGCTTCTCTGTGCTCCATTTCCCTATCTCTAAAAGATCGATGACAGTCTTACTCTTACAAATTGGCTGGGTGAGATCGCATAGGAGAAGGGCCCCATGCTTGGGACTCAGCTTCCCTGGGGGCTACCGTTATAAAGATGATTATAGATGGATGCCCCAGGATCAAGGACAGACTGAACACTCATCTTAGCAAGAACCATTCTGTACTCTGATGTCATCCTTAGGAACTTTATCTGGAACTCTTGATCATGCACTAGAAAGAGGATCCACAAGATCTCATGGCTGGTGGTCAAAGCAAGGAAGGATCTTTGAGATCACCTGGTCGAGAATTTCTCAACGGTGGCACTGGAAGGCCATTGTGTAGGAGCAATTATGTAGGATATTTAGTAGCGTACTGGGGCCTCACATGCCAGATAACACCAGCAGTCCCATGCCAGTCAGGAAAACGAAATAGGCTCCAGACATTGCCAAATGTCTTTTGCAGGAGGGCATAATCACCCCAGTTGGGGATCATTGACCTCTTCTCATTAAAATATGGGAACTGAGACTTCGAAAGGGAATGGAATGTCCTTTTCCAGGTCACATTACAAGTCAGCTTCACTGTCCAGGTGGGTGCCTCACCTTCTCTGACTTCCAGTATCTTCAAGATGCCCGGGGATCCTGTGAGGCTAAAGGAGAGGCTCTCTCTCCTGCTGCCCTCTGCATGCCCTTCTGGGACCCCAAGAGGGAAGGAGTTTTACGACAACAGACCCCACAAATGGGAGACTGTGTTAGGCACCTATGTGGTGGCTGAAAAAAGCACTGGGCTTATGTGTTATGTTTTGTGGGCACGATTTATGAGGTGCCTTTCAAAAAGTCCTCTTTGTATAGTTCACCACTTGGGTGGAATATTTCCTGAGGTGCCAAGAATTCACCACTTCATAATCACACTCTATCCACATCCCCCCTCCTCTCGGGCAAGCACACCCTGCTCCCCCAGGAGGAGCTGAGGAGTTTGTTTCTCATCTCTCTTTGTTTGAGTTCTTACTCTGTTCTTGGAAATTTTGCTGAACATCTCTAAACCTGCCTCTTTGAAAAATGGAGCTCCTGTGAAGTTAAAGGAGACAGTGTAATACCTACTCATTAACTGAGCATGTATTATGCGGTAGAACTTCCATTTGGCAGGATTCGGAAAGACAGATGAGTGGAGACGACAGTATAGGAGACAAGAGTGTTGACTGGGAAAAAAGTCACAGGAGGCTTCTGAAGACATGGGATTGGGGATACTGAAGAAAACTTCCTAATTGAAGGGGAAGTTGTGCTGAACCTCATAAATGAATAGGAGTTAGATAGAGAAAAAGGTCAAAGATCTAGCAGGCAGCACTCGCAAAGGCATAGAGCTAAGAGACTGCTCAGAAGTTCTGAGACTCTGTGGCTGGGATACAGTGCACAAGCAGGGACCGCATGAAAAATGGTAGGAGGAGGAGCCAGGCTGTTGGTGTTCCCTCATGTGCCGATATTATCTCTGATGTAGCAGGTAGTGAGTGGCGCACCTTTAGGCTCAAGTTCAAATCCCAGCTCAGCCACTTGCCAGCTATGTTATTATATTGAGTGAACTGCTTCACCACTTGTGCCTCTGTAGCCTTGCTTTTCTTTAAAATGAGAATAATAACTTCCCTTAGGGGTGTGGGTTACATTTTTTCTCCATGTTAGTAAAAAGCTGCTTATGTGTTTTCACATCTATGAAAAGGGAATAGCATAGTACTCACCTCAGAGGGTTATGGAGAGGGTTAGGCAAGTTAACAGATGTAAACTCTTAAAAAATTGTCCCATGGTATGCTCAGAAAAGCTTACATGGTAAGCACTAGAAACTATCATCCCCAGAGTCCTCACTACGTAGCCCCCTTGTGTTACTAGGTGCTCTTTGTATACCAGGCATTGGGACAGAGATGAACTGGTTTATGCCTTATGTGTCTGAATAAGGCAGTGGCAGGAGCCTGGGTTGGAAAACAGGTGAGGTACCACTGGAGTATATAAGATGGATACCTAGTTATCAATTCAGGGTATCAGAAAAGTCTTCCAAAATAGTGTAAAGGCTCAGCTAGGTCTTCAATAATGAACAAATGTTACAGATAGATAAAAATGCAGAAGAAATAGATCATTCCAATTTATACTAGAGAGAGCATAAGCCATCAGTTGATAGAAATGGCTGGAGCAGTGAACAGGTAGGAGGCCAGTGAGCTTGGCAGAGATTAAACCATCCAGACCTTTCAATGCTATGCTGAAGGATTTGGATTTTCTCCTTTGGGCAGCAGGGAGCCATGGGCTGGCATTCACAAAAATAATCAACAAGTACAACGTGAGATTGGAAAGGGCATTCTTCCAACATGGTTTGCCTCCAAAGGCCCAGCCATTTCCTCAGAAAGAATTTTAGGGGGGCGGGGTTTGTGGCTCAATGGTAGAGCACTTGCCTAGCAGGTGTGAGGTACTGGGTTCGATTCTCAGCACCACATATAAATAAATAAATAAAATAAAGGTCCATCAACATCTAATAAAAAAAAAAAAGAGAGAATCTTGGAACACAGCTAGGCAAAGCCTCCTTTCATAAGGATGGGGAAACTGAGGTCTGGAATGAGAAAACTAATTGCCTCAAAGGAACGCCTCAGTTTAATAACAGACAAATCCAGAACCACGGTTTCTGATTGCGTAGAGTCAAGATGGAGGGTTTAGCTCTGGGGTCCCTAATTCAAGTCCTCACTCTCTAACTTAACAGCTAAGTAGATCATGAGCAAGTTCTTCAATGCCACTAACCAAGTTCCCACATCGTTAAAATGTGTTATTAGCAAGAAAACATGGGTAATAGATTAGCTCTAACTAAATGTTAGCCATGATTCAAAGAAGCATTGAGAGTAGGAAAGATACAGACTTTGCAGCCCAGTCTGTCACTTCTCCTCCTTGAGCCTCAGTTTCCTAACTTGTAAAACATAAATAGGGATATTTATTTTATAGGACTGTGAGGCTGTAATGGAACAATTATCAGAGGCATCCACAAGTACTGTAAACCAACATTTGCATTTAGACAAGGAAGACAGGATGATTCAGAAGGGAAAGGTATGAAGAGATGGGCTGGAAATGCTCTAGGGTGGGAGAGGGGGAGGGGTGAGCGAGACCAAAGGCAAGAGTACTGGGAAATAAATCCTAGGGAGTGGAGACGCATAAATCAAAGGCCAGGCATGCTTCAAGCTTTCCCTAGAGGGGAAATCATAGGTCAGAGTGACCACTTTTCTCAAATACCGGAAATGAAGTCTTCCCCATTGGAATTAGGACTCAGGCCCACTGGGATAAGAGGCAAGAGGTGAAGAAGGGACACCATATATGAATTTATCATGTATTAGCAGGCAAGAATGAGACAGTGATGGCTTGTGGAGGAGTAAAGGGTTGGACCCGAGGCCACTTCTCCGGGAATTGTAGAACCTTTGACCCACCATTCTGTTCCCAGCATCATTACCCAATCAGCTGTTGACAGGGTTATCGGACAGAGACCTAACTTCTAAGGGTGCCCTGAAATGGAGAAAAGGAAGAGTGGCAGTATAGAAATGTTCCCATTGGCTGCTTTTCCTCCTCTCTGCGTCCTGGAGTTGAGCTGAAATGTCTCTGTGTGAGCTGACCCTAAGCTTAATGAGAGTCAAGGGCATGACGTGGTTATGAAAATTTGGAACACAACCTCTCGATGTGGAGGGGTAGTCTAAAGGAAGTAATGACTTCATTCATGCTGTTCTGGCCAGGCCACAGCTGGAGAATCCCAGTCTCTTCTGGTAAGACGGACGTTTACAAACTGTAGTTGGATTATGATGCTCAAGGGGGACTCAAAAGCAAGCCCGCTAAGCAGGAATGGAGGAGAAGACTGGACATAGGCAAATGGTTATGTTGTTCTAACAACTGAAGACACATAGGGAAAATCTGAGGGTCAGGGATGACAAGAGCTATAACTGAGCACACACTAGGTGGGTACCCATGCAATATCATCTAAATCCAACCCTCACAATTCTCATGTGTACACTTTCTTCCTAGTCTTTAGCTGATAAAAGTGAGCCTGTGGCTCATCATGTGACTTGGCCAGAGTGACAGAGTGAAGAATAGGGTCTCCAGTCCCTGCTGCAAGACGTTTCAGTGTTATTGACAAAACCACCCTAAAATTAACAGACATCAATTTTGGTTCAATATTATAACTTATTAAAAAACTGTTAAAACTAGAATCATCTAAATATAGAATGGATCTTTCAATATGGTGGTGGATTCCCTGTCACTGGAGGTGAGCAAATCAAGTATGTTTTAGAAAGGA